CGCGATGAGGAAAAAGATCGGAGAGGACGTGGATACAACCATCTACTTCAGAGCTCAACCATGTTGGTGTCGTGTGTAGTTATACCCCGGATGTGTGGGTCATACATGCGCTAGCATCGAGACCTAGGTGTGAGGATAATCCAAGATAAATATCCGTGTGATTGAGGGGGGAGTTGAGGATTCGCGTGGCTGGCGACATGCTGCGAAAAGGGGAACCCTGTGTCGGAGGTGCATCGACCGGATTAAGGGGTGAGAATAAACACGATTCACAACAAATACTTCAGTTACATTAACTTATAATCATTTTCTTTCCACACCTAAAATTTAATTCTTCTTTTTTGCAAATTTGTACTTTTCCTGCACGGATACCGGCCCACGCTATTCACCGCTTGTCAGATTGCGCATTTGTTAAAATTCACGTTGTCAAATTCAAATTGATTGCATGGTGTGCCAAACACTTTCCCCTTTCCAGTGTTCGTTTAAATGGATGGTGGCGCATCGTGCTGTCAAGCCCACTTGATTTTACCGAGTAAATTAGTTTTCATAAGATGGTCCGCCTCGGAAGTGATAACAGTTTTGACAACTTCGTCTGGTCGTCATTGTAACGCACACCACGCAGACTGCCTCCAGCACCGACTAACTCTTGCCAATTTCACTCAGATGGCATAATGCCTTCAAGGAAATTCAATTTTCTGCTAGAGTAGATGGACAATCAACCATATTCGGTTTGATTACCTCGTAGCCAGTAGAGCGGCCATCAGAACAGATTGATGACGGCCCAGCGTTTGTGTTTATTTGTCAACTGAAATTTATGTACTTATACAATTTTTTTTACACAAAAAAGTGTTCTTGATTGGGTGGCGCCGCAGCATTTTACACACCGTGGCACACAATGTAGTCGTCTGGGCACTTACATTTGGGGCTCATGTTTAGGAGACCTAGTGGCTGCAATAAGGAAGTTGGTTTGCCTTAGAAAATCACCACTGCACGAAAAACCCAAACAGGAGATAATATCATTTTGAAGTTGTAAATGGCCGAACGGTGACGAATGAAGGGTGTAACTTCTGGGAGCTTGTGTGTGCACGCCAAAAACGTGATTGTGCAGCTGTTGCCTTAGCAGAGGTGTGCGTGTGTGTGTCGGTGTGGGTGCGTACAAGCCTGGTGTTGCGCCATCCCCTTAACCAGCACACTGCCAGGCGGGGTTTTAGTGACACGGCAACTGTTTCCACCTTCCGCCTGCGCGTGCGTACGCTGGGCGTTCAAACGCCAAGTCGCGTGTTAGACCGCCATCACCCCACCATTGACTAGCCACAGATGGGTAAAAAATGTCGATCCACACACACACACACAAGCCGATTGGATAATGATAAAATAGGTGAACAAAAATTCACCAAGGCAAATTTTCACCGGTCTGGCTATGAGAATAGTGAATAATGGAGCAATTTCCCACGCCTTCGCATCACACAGTCACTTCAAAATTGGTCCAAATGGCCATCACATAGCAGCAAATTTTTATTAGATGTTTAAGTCAATATTATTAGTATATACATTTCCGACATTCTTGGGTCAAATGTGATCCATTCAGGTTGCATGGATCAAGAAAGAGAAGACTTACAGAGATAACGCGTAGCTTAACTAATTTGCTGATGCGGTAATAGAGTGGCTATACGAGGTAACAAGTTTATACATGATCAGTTAATATTGATTTCTGAACGAATATAGTTACATGAAGATCATTCAAGCAAATCGATTGAATCGTGTTCGCTCGCTGCTAGCCATAGACTTTCTCTAATGCTGCGTTTATGCCTTGGGTTTTATTTTTTGTAGATTCGCTCATCAGTTAGGTGCTCAGTTTTGAACAGTTTACTCTACTTCACGGTCCATTGCAAAGCAACGCCATGTCCGACACTACACACACTGGTGAGACGTCCAGTAGTGTCAGCTGGTGGGCATCTGAGTGACCAATCGTGCAGTCGTTTGAGTTGTGGTGGACATTTATAGGCAACTTCTATTACAGAGCAGCCTAAACACAAACAAGCAAACAGGGATTTAAAGGAGAATATGCACCCACTCCAAGAGCAGCTTTACACGACAGTCGGATTGCAAGTACACGCGGTCTGGAACCCCGGTATTTCCTGATATTATTTGGGTGCATTGTCGTGTACAAGTGATCATTCACCTCTTTCGAAAAACTGGGAAGGCGCCAGAAGCAAGTTATTTGGCGCATTTGCCAGTGTAACAGCCCTCCAACAACTGTTTCACTCTTGACTTCCTCGTTAAAAAATCCCTCGATGCAATATGAACTCACGCCTTGTGCAACACTTTTCTCCGTATACCTGCGTTTTCAGTTGTATCTTAAAAAAAATCTACAAACCACAAGTCTACCAAAATGAAGAGGCAAGATTTTGTGTACTACTGTAAACAACACCGATCACGGCAGACGGAGAATAAAAAAAAACAGAACATAATTGAATTAATGTGGTCCTGAAAAGTGGAGAAAATGGACGTTTGGATTGCGTGTCTGGCGGTTTTTGTGTGTCCTAAAGACAAGGAAAAAAGTTAACACCGGAGAAGGAAGGAGGGGCAGGAGAATGAGGTAAATTGAATTTAATGCACGTAATTTGTTTTTTCCCCAAAGTAGGTGTGAAAACTGGGGCCACTTCGATGCTGATTTAGCATTTTGTTGTTGGAATTTCATTGAAAATAGTGACGGTATCAAATGGGATATTGTTAGGCAAAAGATAGGAGTTTTGCTTCCTCCGTCTGATAGTTTTCCGAGGAAGATCAGTCTCGGTAATTTGTTGACAGGTAGGCTCCGTCAAGCATTCCCGGACTTCGTGTTAACCCACCCAAATTCAGGTCTCGGACCTTAGTCATCATGTATTCAAAAGATGGACTGTCAGTAAAAAAAAACATTTATTAATCTTTGCATTTTAATATCAAACATAATTAAAACCTTGTAAGGAGGGGTTTGATGAACTTACAGACAGAACAGGACGTCTCGAAACGTGCTTGCATTAGTTAAAACCGCCCGAGCCAACGCATTCTTACCAATCTTCAGGACTTGAAAATTCATCTGTTTAGGACCAGGAGCTTCATCAATGTCGATGGCACTTCAGTCGATTTGGTCATCGTCTAGGGGTCATCGCCATGGTCAGGTCAACCCACCTAAAAGGACACTTGAACTGAATGGCCAGATATTTCAGGAAAAGTAAGACGCGCACAAGTCGGTTTACCTTTTTTAAAACATTGCAGGGCACCTTTTAGAGGACTTATAAAATACCCCGTGTCATCGATCACTTTGATCAGAATGATTTTTAAATAAGTTTAAGAACAAGAGTGTTCAGATGACGTAGGTGCACAGTTTTTTGGACGAAAGATTTTACAGTAAGCTGAACGTTGGTGAACTTAGTTTTTATTTGGAAATTTCGGCCCAAGAAACTCGGTAGTTTTGTTGAATAAGAGAACGGATTCCAATGTGAGTTCATTGTGTTTTCGTTAAATGTTACGTCTCCGTAAAGTAGTCCACCGTTGAAAGGCCTGTCCCATGTAAGTCTCTGTTGCGGTAAACATTTTAAGGGTTTCGAAATACATTTTGAAGCCATTCAAAACAGCTTGCATTAAGGTGTGGTTGCAAAGTACCTCGGTGAAATGTGTGGGCATTTTTTTCCCTTTTTCTCAACCACCAAAGGGAGCTATGCTGCGAAAAACTGACCTGTGACAAAAGAACACTCCTGTCACCAACAAGCCGCTGTGGTACGATGCATCTTTCATAAGTACCCAATAAAGTGCCTTTCAGTATTTTCGAAAAGCGTGGACAAGTGTGTGTTTTTGGCTTTCCCAAAAACCCGGCCATCCAATTAAAAGTGTCCTTTTAGGGTAATTGACCTGACCATGACGATGGCCATCTGCATTGATGAAGTGCCTTGTCCTTACTGGTTGACTCGTCGTTTCAAGCAGACCGAGGCGAGTGAACTTCTAGCGGTTTGAACTGATGCAAGCACACGTAATATGAGTTACTTTCACTCGACTGATGCTGGTACCTCCCGCGAGTGGTTCTGGTCGCGCCACCTTTTCACTGCCTGGACTAGGGCCGGCAAACCAGCAGAATCAGAAACAAGGAATCGATCATGGAGCAATGGGCCACACTGATTCACACCCTTTTCCTGGTGAACATGGATGCTTCGTCATGATTATTGCAACCAATGAGGTAACGACTAATGTCAACAGATCCGTTCCAACCAAATTATGTTTGATCAAACGCTGATTTTGCTTAAAAGTTAATTTCACACGAAATTCTCAAACATGACTTACCCGGTATTTAGCCAAAAGCAAACACATCCATGTATTTGCATCACATGCCGTGTGCAGAGATGTCTTAAGTAAAGACATGTTGAGAGCGGTGGGGGAGGAAATGGACTGGACCTTGCAGGCTTACTGTGGTTCCGCTGGCTGCCACCCTCCACGTCCTGCCCTTAAGGCCTTCAAGCCGCAGATATCGCAGTGCTTAGCCCCCTGCTACGGCCACAACTGGGTTAGATCGCTCTGCACGAAAGCAGACTTAGCAAAAATAACCCGACCATAAATACCCACCGAAATTGGCCGTGGCGCTGGAACTGCAGGCGCAAAGGTCACACAAGCCCATGTAAATTATTATCCTGGCCATTATGGACAGAGGACAAACAGGATGCTTAGTGAAGAGCAGGGCACGGGGAAGAAAATGACGTATACTTTACGGGATCGACCAGTTTCTCCAGTTGCGAACGCGGTGTTACAGCAAAGTAATGCTACCCATTTGGTCGCCCCTATCACACTTTGATTGACACTTTAACAAACTTCCAGAAAAGAAGCCCATTGAAAATGAAGATCTTCCCGGATCAGACTTTTAACTTGAGTCAAGTGAAAAGTAAACACTTGAATCTTATTAGGAAAATTTCAAGTGTGGGGTTGGTCGGAGAAATTTGACCAGCAGAATGACTATCACACACTCACACACACACATGGGGCAAACGCAATTACCGTACCTCGAGCAGACTGTCGTTGCCGTCCCTCTACCACCCTTTTCCTCCTCCTCCTTCGCCTCCTGCTGTTGTGGCTGCCCCCTCCGTGTCGTTGAACAGATAAACTTCCCTCAGACACTTCCTCGAACCCACCTTTCGTCTGAACCTCAAGAGACACTCATCAGCACTCACTTCTACCTGAGTCCCGACCAAAAGATCCTCCCCCCACCCCAAGTCATTGAAGAAAAAACTTAAATTATATCCTACTAGTCTGCATGAAACCGTGTAAAAAGTAGCCTTTTGGTGGAACAACAGTAAGCCTCGTAATTAGGGTCAATTCAGGCTTTAAATTTGATGTCTTCGTCCTCAACAAATTACCTCGATGTCGAGAGTTGTGGCGATACTTTCAATGATCCCTGTTCTGTCCTTTAGGATGTTGCTTTAATTATAGTCCAGAACTTGAAACAATCAAGACTGAGGTTTAGAAGCAGAAGCAAAAGCTCCGGTTTGCATTGTCAGGAAACAAAAGCTCATCCGAGACAGAATTCAGCCTGGCCACAAGTTAAAGTACACAGCTGCGCCGTAGAGGTTGCAGCATGATTGTTTTCTTCGGGACGAACACGACTGCTAAAAAGCAAAGTAGTGGCAAATAAATTCTGACTAGATGTGGCTTATTTCCCTATGAGCAGCTTCATGATCTCGACCATTCTCGGATCCCCCACATGGATTGTAATCAATATGCAATTTGGTGAACTACCTCTGAATGAATCCACCTAATCCTACCAGTCAGTAAAGTTATTCCTACCACTCACCACGGTCATGGCTACTTAAAATACACACTCTTGGTACCAACTAGTATTCTTTCAAGCATGGCCTGGTGTTCCCCTCACATACCACGAGGCTTACCTTTATGTGCCAGACACACGCCAACAAATCTCTTGCTTTTCTAGTATTCTCAATTTTCCAAGTATACCCACACTCCCGATTCCTGGTATCACTTGCCTCCACCACTTTCAGCGGTGTTCTCTTCAACAACAAAAATAAGACAAAAATGCATTACTGTCATTTTGACTGGTCAAAAGTTATTTTCACTCCTGGCCCAATGTCATTTGGTGCCCATATTCAATTCACTACTAGAGCTACTTCACACAGACAAACAGATAAAGACTCGGTCACAAGTAGTGCGGGTAACCATATTTATTTGTTTATTGGCAATAAGATTGACCTATTCTAAAGTTGATTATACAGTGACAATGAAAGGCGGACTAGAAGTGATAAAAAGAGGCATCTGAAAGAGACAACGCCTGCTAACTAGTTAACTGTATGTTGTATATCAAATAATTTAGGCAAAGAGCCCCTTTTTGCAGCGACTACTGACCAAATGAAAGGTACAACGTCGCTTCCCAGTTGCATTAATAGATCAACGAGGAAGCTTGTAAGTTATTTCCAGATAAGACCATGTTGTTTGCAGCACATCTTTTCATGGGTGGTTAGTCATCCGAAGAGGGCTGTTCTGTAAAGTAGCCTTCGCAACAAGCGTACTTTAACGTAAATGCCACATCTGTCTAGTTGTAAAAGAGTGGTCATCCGACAATAATACGATTATCAGGCAGTCTGTTTAGTTCCAGTGTAAAACATTTCCAAAACGTGCACTTAATAAATTACAGCCCAATTTCGTTTCGACCAGTTTCCTTTTCGGCGGTTTCTGACGTCATAAGAAGCACGAATTAGTCCCATGTCCAAAAGAATCCATTCTCCACCAATTAGCATTTAAAAAGCAAATTTTTAAATGAAACTGAGCTTTAGATTCAAAAATCGTAGGAGGAATTCTGTTCTCATGCATCGCTTAAATCTTGGCAAGAATTTGATTAAATTTAACTATTTCATCCTGTGAATGTAATTTGTCTCCGTGTGTTGACAGATTTCGCGTCTCCTCGCATACAAATGAATCAGACGGTAATACCAACTGAAAACGCTGCAAATTCGGCTCATTAAGATGTGTACTTCTCAGGAATCCGAAAACCCATTAATTAAGTAAACTTAGAAAAGGCAGTTTTTTAATCCCCTTAGATTAAAGTGTAACTGGGCTAATACGAAATCTAAATTTTCTTTGCTTGCAAATCGATAAAATGAACAATCGATACTTCAATGTGAATTTACCATATTGAAAGTGACTGACAGCAGTTCAATTACCGACTGACAGAATTATGCAAACTTCTGTGCAAAATCCTGCCTTTTAAGTATTGTTAAGTTTACAACCATATGCAGTGCCTGCTTTCCTAAGAGCCAGTCAAAGTTTAAGAGAATATGGTTCCCAAAGATTAGTCCTTAGTGCATAAATGATTAACAAAGGTAAGACGTCTCCGGTGTGGAGGTACATTTATTCCTCTATTTCCAGATAGGACACCGCCACGTCTGCCATATATCGCCTCATTGCTCTACGTTTCAGTTTATTTCATTTTAGTACCAAATCGGTGCCAAGATCACTGTTTATTTCCCCTTTTAACTCCTACTGTTCCCATTTTATACTCAAAGTACCTTGATAAACATGTACATATCACTAATTCTCGAAGTTGTGTGTTTGGCTGGTTAAAATTTATGCGACCGCCATAGACTGTGTGATCTCAATGATGACACTGCTCAGGTACCCCCTAACAAATGAAGGGTTTCAGACATGCCGCGGCTCTCGTAAATCGCTAAGAATGCTGGGTCACTTTGATCGGAAAAGCCAGCGCTCCGACATGAAGGTGTGATCGAATTGGTTTGATTGCTGTCAAGTGTAGTCATGGCCAATGCTAGGTGTATGTAACTGTCCTCCAAACAGTGCTCATGATAAAAATTTATGAATACGCAGACAACTTGACTGTCTCTATTTTGCCCCGAAATTCCTGGCCAGCGGTCTTCGCTTCTAAGTACTCCGTGGACAACTCTTAGCAGCGTCGCTTTAAATTGTGACCTATCACTCTTGATTAGTATTCAGCGCGTGAGATTGCACTTGGAGTAAGTTTAGCTGAAGGGGTCTTCTCGCAGTCATAACCACCATCTCATCATGCTCCTACAAACCAATGTCACATCTGTTTTGAGCTGCTTCATTGGCGGATTGAGCAATTCAAATGCAAACAGCCGCAGATAATATGCAATTTTTTAGATATTATTTAAACTCTTCAAAGGTATGCTTTAACCTGGCCAACGGTTTCTGGCTTAGTGTGGGCAAAAGAATTATTTCCCTCAGCCAAGTTGCCAAGGTCCTTAGTTTGCCGCGACAAAAACACTTGGTGCGCACTGCTTCCAAAAGCCTGTCCCTTCTCTTCACTAAAGAAGAAGCCACGAGGTGGTTTGGAAACTCAAAAAGACAGCTGCCTTCCACCCAGGTTTTATCAAAAATTAAGCAAAAATCGATCCATTATCTATGAGCAAATTTGTAAACGTGCCAAAGACATCTTAAAGAGCATCTAAAAGTAAGGATATTTGTGGCTCCTTTAGTGTGCAAAATTGTCAAACATACAGATGCCTAACAATACATACGTATTCTTTTATTTTCATTTAATATCCTCGAGTCTGGCGATGTCACCTTCTTGAAGCACGCTTAGTTGTTAGCTTGTGATAAAAAATGGAAGTCCTTTTTGTGATTTTGCAGAAATATTAATGAGGCAAGCGGCTTGATAACCCCTGATTCTACTTTAAAATCACAAGAACAAATGTTCACAATCGAAGTTTCTCAGAACGCATAAACTATGTCGAAATGTTCGGAAAATATTTTAATTTGCATCTCTTTTACTTGTCTACCGTGTATTAATTCGGGTCGCCAATCAGAATTCCGTTTAGGCAGTCCTGTGACAAATGGAATTTCTTGAGCTATCACCACCAACTTGTACACAGGTTACTATGCGGGATAATGGAAATCGTTGATAATTTTGAGACATCACAAAACCTTTTGAATACTATGTAGAAGCCGATTACGTCAAATTTCAGGTGACACCCAACGGAAGACGGTGCATATTTTGCTTCAGAGCCGGGATGAGGTCAAATCTCGAAACCACTGCCAGTTGAAAATGTGGTAATAAAACAAGTGATGTTTTTGTGAAACTCAGGAGGCGCAGACATATTCTATGACAAATTTGTGAGCATCGGGCCGTAAAATAATTCAGGAAATCATAAAATATCACCCCGACAGCCCAGCAAATGTCTTGATGCATTACGAAGACGCTAAGGCGACGGAGACTCGACCGTTTATTGGTAATGGTCATTATCTAGGAGATTATGCAGGCGCACAGATGTGTGAAGGTTTAAGGGCTGGGACCTCAATGGAGAATGATGAGAACCGGTGTGAAGAACCAAGAATCGTGTAACAGGGAAAATCAAAGTTTCTGCTTTTGTCCCAGGGAATCACGCTAGTATTTGTTAAGAAGTCAGACCTTGTTCATGGTGCCAGTAATTATTTCATCCACAATAACGTACCTTCCCCTACTTCAAACTCTAAAAGGACCAGCTATTGAAACCCTCTGTGAAAAAAAAACAGGCTGAACTTATGCATAAAGAACCAGAATAGGCGGTAGAGTTGAACGACTTCCGACAAATCTCCTAATGGCGTTGACTCACGCTCGTTAATCCGGTCGCTCCTGTCCCCGACACAATTTCTCCTTGTCACAGCACCCCGTCGGCCTTGAGGGGAACCTCATCTCAAACTTGAATAGCGTGGGTGTTTATCCTGGATTGTCGCTTATTGAAATAACATGCCGTTCTAATCCACAATGTTACCGCATCTATGACCCACGCTGTTTCATACATTTGAGCTATAAACAAACATGCGCTAAAGCCAAATAACAGTTAAAACTTGGTTGAACTAGCTAGTGAACGGTTTTGTCTCTGCCATCTCCGGCCCTTTTGATCTTCCGGGCTATTTGTGTAAAGTAATCAGACCAACTTTAACACATTGGCCCCCGCCTTAGATCACGGCCGCCTGTCGAAGCCTTTAACACATCGAGCACGCTTATGCAAAAAATTCAGAAATCCAGAGCCCAAATTCCTTGCGTAACGCAGGCCTCACTTTCCCAGTACAGGACAATGACGGGACCTCGTTAGAGAGTTTTTACTATCCTAGCCAGAGGCCCAGTGATGTGTCTGAATGCTCGGCGTATGTGAGTCACGCGTGGCTTTGACCTGAAGAATCAAGAGGAATTAGCACAGATGGAGCAGTCAGTGGGGTGCCGTGGATGGAACGACCAGCCGGAGTGGCGTGGTTTGGTGGATTTTGG